AGAAACTTCTAAATATTTTGGCATACATTAGGAAAAATTGATGTATTTGTGTTTGTATGTATGTATATGCGGATACACTTTTTTGTCAAAGATTTTGCAAACAAAACAACATTTGATTCCTTTCGAAAGGGAGTCGTGCTGATTAGTTAGGCAAAGGCAGGTTCAGGCTTTTCTAAGATACGGAGCAAAAAGTGCCAAAAATAACTTTTCAGTTTTTGAGCGCAGCGTTTGATTTTAATAGTTCAAAAAACATTCGACATTTTATTAACATAATGTAGAACTTATACAATTTCTGTAAAGACAGGTCTAGCGGTTTCAGTGATCGAGTGCGAAAAAAAAAGCCATTTTGCGGTCTAAAATGATCATTAGACATATGCACATCAAATTATCAGATATTTTATAAAGATTTTAATAATGTAAAAATTTTGTTTACATTTCTATGAGTTCCGTACCAATGTTTTATCCGTTAGAGTACGACACGTCGCTTACGTGCTTCGATATTTAGTCTCTAAAACATCTACGCAGCGCAATTGCTTTGAAAAACATTTTCAAAAAAAGTTGAAATATAAAAAAATCTGTTTTTTGCAAGTCAAATTTCATCAAAAAATTCAAAGTTCTCAAAAATCTAATTTTTTTCAAAGATTTCAAAATATTCTAAAAATTTTTCAAAAAATTTAATTTTTGGTACGGGAAGTTTCAGCCATTTTCCTGAAACAATGCCATACATCACTAGTTTTACTAAGGTATGTATTCACCGACCTTGTTATTATGATTCAAATTATGCATTACCTGCATATATGTTGCGTCCTAATCTTCTATATTTGCTCAACCGAAAACATCTTTTCGGTATATTAAAAACCCTGTGAAAAGCGATAAAGTATCAAAATCTTTAGAATCCGCAATTCGGAACCATTTATATGATGTATCGCGTAACCTGTACGCCTCTCGAACCGATTCGTCACTGTCTGCTCTTCCGTCCAATTGTGATATTAAGCCTATGCGAACACCGCGGTTTACGTGTATTATACGTACTGTGAGCGAGAATTGGGCGTCGTTTGGCCCCCAACTCCGGTCTGTCCATGGGTATTCAGGTACAGATTAAGGTGTTCCATGTGCGACGGATAATGAGGCTCTCCCCTGGTAAAGCTTGCGGTATTGTCGTTCGGCGACGAAAGACAGAGGGCTGGTAAGCCTACTGGTATCTATGAGCTTTTGGAATTTTGAATTTATATGTTTAACACAAACTTTAACAAAACTAGTGGTAAATTGCATCGTGCCTCAAGGCAAATTGCGGGAACATTTTGTACCATAATTTAAAGCCTTACATTTTTTGAAAATTTTGATTTTTTTTTTAAAGCAAACATGCTGCTTAGCTATTTTGGAGACGAAATAACAAACCGCTAAACTCCGCTTTAGGGTCTAACAGCTAATCATTATAAATTTTGATACAGAGTTCATATAAATGTAAATCACATTTGTACTTATTATTAAAATCTCTATAAAATATCTGATAAATTTATGTCCATATGTCTATTGATCATTTTTGACCAGCAGATCGCAATTTTTTTTTATTTTTAAAAGTGCTGGACCTGCCTTTACAAAAAATCAACTAGTTTTTCATTTTGTCAATACAAGTGATCTCTGAAAATCGCTATTCTTGGCACTTTCTACCCCGTATCTCCAAAAAAACTGGACTTGCTTTGCCAAAAACTAATCAGTACGTCTTCCTTCAATAGCAATCGAATGTTTTTTTTTAATTATTCAAATCGGTTGATTGTATCCAAACACACACAAACATACATCAGTTTTGTTTTGGTATGCCAGAATGTTCAGAAACCATTAAAATGTAAAGATACATATATAAAAACTTTTATTTCAGATTTTTTTGTCATCACTATAACTTATTCTTTGGGAAGTTAACAATGGCGTATCGAGATAAACAATGTAATATAAGTAGATAAGTAAATAATAATATCTATTAGTAATGTATTAAACTACAATAAAAAGCTGATATATGGCATCTATAATGGGCAGTATTAACTATCCGTTGGTCTGAAAGGTCTGGCCAGACTTTTTCCGACTTCAATTAAAAAAAATACTTTTAGTAATCCTATCGACTTGAAATTTCTGGACTTTTCCTAAAATTTCATTAGCTGTCGATCAATGAAAAAATCAGGACGAAAAAATGTGTGGTCCAGCCAGACTAATCCGACCGTTTGAAGGTAAATAAATATCCGACCGGCGGAGGGTTAATTATCACTCAAATTGGTTGTCGTTCTAATGCAATATTCGAAAAGCTTCTAATGTGAAAACACATTTTATGGCAATATTTTGTCGGTGTAATTTTTATCAATTTGTTTCTCTCTTATTTAACATATTAGTTAACAATGTTTTAATTAAGCGTCACAACTTTACTATCTGATGCCCAATCAATTTTTACTTCGAATATTAGAAAAACCTTGCCATTTAAAATGAAGTATTACAAAAAGCTCATATAGATTGGCTCAAAATTATATCAACTATCGGATATATTCTTGTTCAAATACAGACATGAACGAAAAGACATGAATTGATGTTGGAAAGAGATTCATACAATATAGACTCGAAGTGCTTTTAGCAATTTCTTTGGAGAAGCGGCTTATTTCAACAATACTATTATTATTTCAAATAAGTGTCTTTAGTGGGGTGTATCACTGATCCCAATGCAGTTTTATTATTAGTACGTTACATAATTATCAGTTGCAAGTAATTACTAGAACTACCAATTATTATGATAAAACTTTAGAATGTTCTTTATTATCAGAAAATTGCCTTTGATTTGATATTTTGACTATATAAGGACCGAATGAAACATATCAAAAATAAGTTACAAACTATTTTTAGGTTTCAATCATTCGATGAATCACTTCAAGAACTAAAAAAAATAGAAAGCATTTTTGAAATATTTATATTAAATATTTCCGAAACTATTATATGTTCAATTTACAGGTGAAAATTTAAAATTAAAATTGATGTAAAGATGTACTATAAATAATAGCATGCATCAATATATTATATATTTTTCATTTTCATTGTTTTTATCTTGAATCTTATCTTTTTATCGAGAAAATCAAATTAATATTAAGACATTTTCAAAACCCTTTGATAAATGTGTTATTTAAATTTCAAACTCTAAATCCCGCAAATAAAATATATTTCAACAAATCGTTCAGTGTTATATTCTAGGTTTTAAATTATGCGAAGTGTGTTTTAAAAATAATGTGGGTTTTCACATATTACATTATATTTCAGATTGTTTTTTATATAATAATAGCTATATTAATTTAATAATTCTTGCGACGTCTTTATCAGAAGATAAATGGACATGTTTGAAAATGGATTTTCAAACAAAAGTCTTTTTCATTGTTAGTTTTTTTTGTGAGCTCTGTTGTTTACTTTGCAAAACCTTAACATTATGTTTAAGTATACCGATTTCAAAAATTTAAAAGGCAATCGATATATTTTGATGTCGATCGATCTTTTCTCGTAGTTTTGTGCAGCTATCGGCCGAACCGTTTCTATGTAATTTTAGAAAAAGTGCTAAACTTTTCGTCCACATTTAAGCTCATATTACCGATTCGATTTTAAAACATTAAAAACTGTTCGAAAAATATTAGTTGGGAATAATACTGATTAGTTTTAGGTGAAAATCTACCGAGCCGTTTTCTTGTAATTAACAGTTGAAAAAAAATTTAAGACGATTGTTATGGAAATTTATTTGGCGATATATATCATGGTCTTATAGAACTTACTGAAATATTACGGCCTTACGACAAGTAGTTTAATTTTAAAAATTCATCAAATTTTGAGAAAATGAGTAGTTTTTTTGACGTTTTTTTAAATTAAAATTAGACGATTTACTTGGTATAACGATGGAGTACTTGATCTTAATGAACATACTAAACCATCAACGCTGGTTTAATTATATAAATTATTGATTTGTGAAAAGTTTTGTTTAGAAAATACTCCGAGTTAATGTGTTCGTTCGTTCAATTAAATTATGTGTAATAAATTAATTTATTTTTCATTGATTAAGTCGATTATTTATCTTGCCTCAAGGCAAAATACCAATAGCAAGTAGTTGAACAGCAATCAGAACTAATGGGTTCTATGAGCTGTTGTGAGTAAGATCTTACAAACTACGTTTGTTTTATTACAGATGGCAACCCAAACAGTTGTCACATCTCTGTATAATAATTTTTTTTATTAAAATATCTGTAATAGGGCAAGTATGGTGCAACAATGCCGGGTGAGGGCTATTTTCACTTGGAAACATATTGCTATCTATATTTCCAAGTAAAAATCGTTGTCAATGTTGCCTGACAACAGGCTGCTCGAGGTGGGTATCGAACCCGGGACCTCTGAAACAAGTCCCGTTATATATCATTTATGAAAGCTTACATGTGGGGTAAAAATCAGCAACTTAACGTCTACTCTGGCAAAGGTGTAAGCAAGGAAATATTACTAAATAAAAAAATAAATTATATTAAAAAATGCAATTTTACTGAAGATAGTTTATGACGATATAGTTATTTTGGTTTAAACAGTATGATTATTTTAAGTCAAATTCGCCTTTGTGACGCGCCTTACCGTAAAAAAAAATTCGTTGCTCGCAAAGGTTGAATTATTTTGTAAACACACATGCTATTATACCTGTTATGAAACAGGTTCGATAACTGTAACATCGCTCAAATTCAAAAATGTCTAATATATTTCAAGCAAATTTGTATTGTAATTTTTGATTGCTAATTTGCAATACTTCATATGAACTAACCACGCATTTCAACGATGTAACTTGATACTCCAGATAGAGACTCGTAATTATTTATTTATTGAGATGCGTAAAATATAAGAGCAAAATAGCTTTTATGCTTGGAATTAATAAATTACATATAAACAGTGTATTAGCAACTACTTTCAACGAAATAATTAATTATCGCATATTTTTTATTGTTTCACAGGTAGATGTTACTTCCAGCTCCCGCCTGACAATGCCAGGCGAACCGGGCGCACCGGGCGAACCTCGTCCCGACTGAGTAAACGATCGCCCCTCGCGCAGGAGCCAATGACGTCCCCGACCTCCGTCAAATATACACGGTCTCTTGTACCGTGCTACTACTATCCGCATTATATCGTTTGCCACCGACGTCGTATACCGAGGTATAAAGCGATCTACGTATTTAATCTCGTGTATGATGTTCCAAAGACGCAACCAGCCTTGATATTCACATCCATGCCGACACCGACACCGCCGCTGCGTTACGTGGAGATCAGAGACGGATGTTTTCACATTGTCCCGCAATGCATCACAAAGGTATTTATATTATATATATTATTATGATTTTTGCACTTTCTTATGCGCAGTACTAAATTTTGCTACAAGTTTATATCTTACTACAAACTTAGTGCTTTTTAGTCTAGTGATGTGCCGACTCGAAAAATTCCCGATATTCGAATCAGAAAAAAACCTGATTCGAATCATGATTCGAATCAACTCGAATCAAGTATATATATGGATGAAAAAAATCATGGATGTATTTATTTAGTAAAAGTGATCCAAATTTATAATCAAAATTGTCAGTTTAACCAATATAACCGACAAAGTAGAAATTGTAAACATAAATCACTATCAAAAAGTATATTCTGAAAATTATTAAAAATGATATAATTTTGAGGACGGCTGAAATATATCTTCAAATTAACTTACAATGATAGATTACCAAACAATTGTGCATCACTAAAGCATATAAAATAATATTTGGAATCATGGGTCGATTGGTTATTTTACTATGTAATCAGTAAAGGATCGCATCTAAACTGAGAGCTGAAAGTTAATTTCATTAATGTAAATTTGCCATTACTTACATAATCAGAAGTTAACATATTATTTACTGACTTTCTGGTGTTTAGTAATTCTTTCAAAAGAGAATTATATTGAAAGATTACCGAAACTCGTTTTATCATTTCGAGTAGTTTATTCTGATAACATTTAAAATCCAAAACACTTAATTATTATCAAAATTGGGTATTGATATTTCACGAACAAAATCGCTCTCAGCGCTTCGTAAAATAAATAAATACGCAAGAACGACGATGCATAGTATCTGTTTCAAAGTCGCTTGATATCGCCCCATATGAAGTCGGAATAACTCATATCGCCGCTTGATTCGGTTCGAGTCATATGAAGTCGGATGATATAGTTAGTCGATGAATGCGGTTAAAGTCATATAAAGACGATTGGAGTCGACTGATACATTTAAGCATATTAAAGTCGGGTGACTCGCATGATTTAATTCATTATTGATTTTTTATATTTATGATATTTATTTTTTATATGATTATAATATTGAATTGAATTAAAACATTTTTTTTATATTTATATTCATGAAGAATGTTATATTTATGAAAAATTTGTGTTAATACATATTTTATCACAGTAAATATTTCGCGTCTTGATACGAGTTGATTCGAATCAAGTAAAATCTGATTCGAATCAAGTCGTTAAAGACTTGATTCGAATGATTCGAATCACTACTTGACATCACTACTTTTTACTATATAATCGTAAATATTGTTTTCTTGTTACAATTTTCGACTTTGTTGCTATTAAGAACATATTGTGCAACATACAATTTGAGGTAGAATAAGGCGGAGCACGAAGCATCAATTTGACATTGAGCAATTATATTGCAAAAACCAAACCTATCATATTACAACAACGTATCAAACAGACAACTATAAGACTATGTTCAATGAAGCTCCTAGATAATTCATCATTATAGACGAATGTTTTTCCCCTGTTTTAAAAAAAACCCTGTTTTTCCTATAGGAAGGACCAATGTCTTATTTCAATACTAATAAAGGTATTTCACAAAATAACAGCTACCTTTTATTTAACCAATACAAAATATCAATCCCACGAGTGCATTTTTTACACTGCAAATAATCTGGATCTGGATCCAGGTGTTTTGCCAGAATAAATTATCAACAGAGTTGCGATAACTATTTATTTAATATTCCTTTTGTAAAATTGTTTTTTTTGCCTTAATTAACTTTAATTTGCTATTTTTTATTTTTTACACCTCTGCAAGAGTAATAGCTTCAGATGGTCCTTTTTTCCCTATTCAATTGTGAACTTCTATAGAGCTTATATAAAAAAATGTTGTCTCTTATTTGAAATTACCATTGCATGTTATAAAACAAAAAAATATACTTAAAAATTCGATTAAGGTCTTATTATAAACTAAGCAACAGTGCTCACAACCAAAACAAATAACAACGAAAATAAATTCTTTTATTATGGATTTGCAAACATTGCCGTTTTTCTCTTGTTCCGTCGAAAGAATAATGATGGAGTTAAAGATTAAGGTAAAAAATCTTAACTTTACAAGTTTTTGAGATCGATGGTGGTCCTTCTTACCCGCGGACCTTTAAGTCTCGCTTTACCCTATATCTACAAATTATTTCATATTAATTCTGAAAAAGTATGATCAATAATTTTCACTACGCCATCACTTAATGCATCAAAATTAGCAAACTATTAACACTAGTGTCATATATATTTTGACATAACTATTTTTATCAACCCCAAATATCCAACTGCCAGTATTTATTTAGAATAAAATGTGTAAATTAAATAAAAGCAAGTATCACAAATCATATCTAAAGACTGATTGAACTTCGAAAATATATGTAAAATTCCAACGTCATTCCAATGTACAACCGCAAATATTGTTTAAACACAACTGTAAACTTTCTATTAGATGTTATTTATGTATATGAATTTTTATAAAGTGTTATTTTTACGTTTTGTATATAAATAACAAATAAAGTAATTCTATTTAAATAATACGTTCATTGCGTTTTAAAATGGCACTGGCATTGTGTAGTATGTAAATATGAAAAACATGGTTTTGTATTATGTTTTAATTTCAAATTTTGGTAAATTAATTAATATTTTAAAAAATTGAGAAATGATTGTAAAATATATTTTAATAGTAGTAGCTGTTGATTATAGGAATTTACTTAAAAAAATAGTAGTGTTTTTACGTATTCCTGAAGTTTTGATGATTTATTGAAAACATAAAATCAGTTATAATATACTTAATTATTATTTGGTTTTTATAATGAGCAGTATCCTAACACAGATAAAATATATGTGGAATAACTTAATTGAATGTCTAATCATTCGAATAATTTATTATGATATTCTCATAATCGGATTATATCATTATATCTATTATCTCATAATGCCAATTAATATTTGTGTCGACTATTCTACAAAATACTACGAATGATTTTGAAATAATATAAAATATATGTTTATTTTTAATATCTTCGGTATTTTAATTTTGTTTAATAAATGTATAAATTATTTAATGTATAATTTTCATATAATAAAATAAAAAGAACAACTAATAAGCACTAATAACCATTTATATCATGCATAAAGCTTTATAGAATAGAGATTTGCAAACTTTCAACAGTTTGTTAGTAAAACAATTTTGTGCGATTACTACAATAAATAGACTAAACATACCTAAGGTTTATTTTAACTAAATACTGCTTGTTGGAAGTTTCTTCCCAAACTGTAAATGCGCAAATAGACCACATAAGTTTGCTTAACGTATATGCTTTTACTTAACTCACACAAATTCATACAAAATAAACACACTAGATACGCAGTTTGAAACACCTATACCATATCCATTGTTGTGTTATTCTTATGATTATTGTTTGTAATTACTTAAGTTAGGAACTTTCGTAAATTATGCAATACAGGTAGTTCTGATTTGAATACTGATATTCGTATAAATTTTAAAAGTTAAGCGTTTAACTACCTAGCTGCGACTTTATGTGTGCATAGCAATTTCTAAGCGAAATAATTTGTATTATTTATATATTATTCATGAGTATTTTGTTTTTTTTTTAAATTTTCTATAGAAATAAAACAATAAAATTGTTTATTTCCTCTAAATTCTTAGTGACCTTTTTTACAGATTAATATATTACGGTGGAGGCGCCGCGTCAATTTTGTGATAAAATTAAAAGAATCATATAGTCATAACGGAGTTTGAAAGACTTGAAAGACGTGGAGAGTACTTATAAATTACTAAAACATCAAAAGTATACAAAATATGATATTCCACTCATTTTGATTCTAAACTATTGGTGCATGGCATAGTGACTTAAGGCAAATTACTGGAACTTCCCGTACCGAAAACTAGAATTTTTAAAAAAACTTAAAAAAAAAAATGGATTTTTTTATATTATATAGCTGTTTTAAAGTCGAAATATCTAAGCGCGTAATACGGTACGGAACCCATATAAATGTACACAAAATTTGTAGTTATTATTATAATCTCTATAAAATATCTGATAATATGATGTGCATATGTCTAATGATCATTTCTGACCGCCAAATGGCATTAGTTTTCCATTTTTCATTGGATCTCTAAAAACGCTGGACCTGCCTTTGCAAAAAGTTCACCAGATGTTCATTTCGTCAATACAAGTAACATGTTTTTTGAATCATTCATATCGGTTGATCCGTGTTCTCGAAATTGTCGACAAAAATTGTATCCGCGCATACACACCCACACAGATACACACATACATCAATTTTTTTTAAGATATGCCAAAATTTTCAGAAACCTAAAACGTAAAGATATATAAAAATCTTATTTTCGATTTTTTTGCGATTACTATTTATTTAATTAATTATATAACTAGTCATTAAGAAACAAATTCCTTTGAATAAGTACGAACTATAATAATAAATTTATTAAGTAAAAATGCAACAAATGATAAAAACTAGGGGTTATACAAAAACCGACATTTCAGAAAACCAGTTTTCGAATTTTAATTTTACTAAAAAAACAGTTTTAACCGGTTTTCGAATTTTATATAGCAAATAAATTTTTGTTCAAATATTATGTAATTTATCCGCAAATTTAGTGTTATTTAGAGCAGAAGTTGACTGAATTTATTTATTGTTCAATTTTATAGATAGTAAACAAAATTATTTTAATTTTAATTAGTAGAACTGAAAATTAATAGTTTATCTTGATTAAATAACTTTGAAAATAATCATTTGTCATTCATGCATCATTTTCACAAATGAGAAAGAAAATATTTTTATGATAGTGAAAGGAAAGTTTTCAAATAAATAAAAATAATACATTTATAAGTAAAAAAAATCATTAAATTAAAAAATAAAAATAAAAAGATATTAGATACATGTTGATACATACTTGTTAATATCTTTTTTTTTAAAATTCAATTTGTCTGTTCCGAGAAGTTTTAATTAATTTA